TGCCTTTTCTTTGAAAAGACAGTGTTTACATGAAAATGCCCGAAGGGAGCTATTATACTCACCAGAACAACTACATTAAGCTGTAGTTGTTCTGGTGACTATAGTGTCCCTTTAAGTTATATGTAGAGAAAGAACTGAGGGGGAGGATCCTCTAAGACACAGATTCATGAGGGAGGTTCTTTAAAAAAAAAAAAAAATCTGTCTAGACTTCCTAAATACCTCCATCCCAGCACTTACACAAAAGCACTGACACCAAAGTAGGGAATCCGTGTCACACAGTTCTATAACTGATAATATCCCAGTATATTTGCAATTCTGCATAGTCCTTCTCTGGGCCATATAACAAGACAATTTTGTTTTAATGAAACAATATTCTTTGCTTGCCCAACAACTTTATAATCTTTAATTATTATTACATAATAAATAATTTTATCTCATTTCTTATACTCTTGACAAAATGAATCCCATGGTTCTCAACATAATTTAAATTGTTATTGATTAGCTTTTGAAGTAAAAAAAAAGATAAAAGAATTGTAAAATTTTCTTTTTGAGCAACGTTTTCTAAACCTGAAGAAAAATAAGATAAAGCTTTTTTTTTTTTTTTTTTTAAACCAAACCTTAGGATTACTTTAAGACCTGCACTAGGCATGGAGGATTAAATATCATAAACTGAATAAATATCAAACAAAGTAGATTTTTATAATGGTGCAGCTAAAAGGGGAAAATACCCTTTATAATCAATGAAATCTAATAAATTGCATTCTGTCTGGCTGTATATCAGATGCAGTACAGCTACTGATGTGTGTATATCAGACTTGACACATTAAAACAAAGCGATAGTGCAGTTATTGATAACAGACACTCAAAATCAACTCAAGAGTCAATAGCACTGCTTGAACTTTGATCTACTAATTTGATAACCAGATAAGTAAAATGAACACATTGTTGAATCCACTTCTATCTAACATTGCAGATTATTAATTTCCTCTGCACACTGTTCATTGAGATTTCATTTCTTTCTTTTTCTGAATAAAATTCTCTCTGACTACATTGCTTTCTATAACTGTCTCATTTACAGGCCAAAATGTCTACTGAGAGCTGGCACAGTCAAGTATACATATATTTCATGCAGGTCAAATATTATACACAAAGACATTAAATTAAGGTTATGTTTATTTGTGCATAGTATCTATTAGAGAGGTTTTAATTTTTTTCCCTCCCTATAAGAAATCACACAAGATTATAGTTAATAAAGGGACTTTACACTTCCCAAATACAAAACAAAAAAACAAAAGCGAACAACTAAAAATCACTGTTTAGTCAATATAACCCAAATTAAATAATGCATATATAATTTTTTTTTTTTTTTATTGTAAGTATATCTAAAAACAGCTTACAAAAGCTGCAGTTCTATTATCTGTTGTCTTTGCAAGTCCTCCCCTTCTAATCCCACCCAGACTTTTGTGGTTGACCAATCAGAGACTTCATAATGCAGCTCAATGAGAAGTCTTTGCAAGGCAGGTGCTCTGGGCAATTGCCTGTTTCTTGAGTTCAGCTCAACAAACCAGGAAGTAAAAGGCCTAGTTGCCAGATTAGCAGCTGGGGGATGTATCAAGAAAAATTAAAAAAAAACTGCCAATTTCTATTGAATTTTTTTTTAATAAAATGTAGAAAGAGGGCAAATTTTTCACACAAAACGCACTAAAGCTAAAGTGTTTCAGGGGCCCAGGCGGTCTCTTTAACCCACGGAGTGAGTGCACATTGCTGCACTGCCTGTTGCTGGAATGTCTTCTGGCATCTAAACCACTACAGATGCTGATTTTAAGTAAAGGGATTATACACTGGCATACAGACTATAAGGAATAGACTATGTTGAAAGCATTATTTCTCATTGGTTCCTAAACTGTTCAATTAGAAGTTAGGGCTCCTCCCCAAAAAACTGTATATCCTACATTGCTCCAAACTTATTAATTATGATTAATTACCAGAAGCCTTTCCCCTTACCCACACCCATCATGCCAAAAAGACTTTCTTATTAAGTGTATGTACACTGCTCAGATCCTAACATTAACGAGCGAGCTACTTTTAATTTTACAAGCTGTCTTTTGACAGTGAGACTACAGAATGCAGACAAACAGGCCATGATATCTTTAGTAAATGTCTCACTGGGTGCCCTCTCCTTTTAATGCAGTTTGCTTCCTAGCTTAGATCACTAAGTGCTGTCAGAGGCTGAGCCTTGTGCATAAATTTTTTCATTTGATAAGGAAGTCTCGTTTCTGGAGATAAGAGGCAGCTTATGGTGCAAAATTCTGCAAAAACATTTTTGTGCAAAAACTTTAAAGATTATAACAAGCAAAATAATTAAATTACAGCATATTAATGAGTCCAACATCCATTAAATTAAAGTTGCATTGGTGCCTGTAGAGTCCTTTTCTTGCACTGTCAACAATATTCTTAATGAACCTTGTAACAATATCAATCTCCCACCCTAAATTATTAATATATAATAAGATGCTCAAGAGTATTGAACTGACATCTACAGTCTCTTGAGTGTAACTTGTTACAGATAGTGCTCTTAAATTGATATTCCAAGCACCATGATTTGAAGTGGTCATGGTGTCTGCAGTCTGTATGTGCAATATTTCATTATAAAGCACTGCACCTACTGAGCTTAACCCCTGTAACTCCTCCTCCATCAGCCTCTTTAGGTCACCAATAGACAGTCTAAAACAAGAGTCTTGGAATTGCTTATATCAGTTCTGTGCATGTTGGACATCTGATGTATGACAGATATCCAATGGTGACACAGCCCCTCAAGCTGCTCATGTCCTACACTTATTTCGTTCTCCTCCTACATAGCTCCCCCTCAAGCAAAGAGGAGTGACATCGGTGGAGGAGGACTTGAGTGCCAGGATAACTTATCTTTGACACTGAAACAGAGATACGTTTTAGTTAGTTGGTAATAGAAATGGACTGGGGCATCACAAGGGTTCTCCTACTCCATTCCTCTTCCTGTTGTATGTGGCTGACGGGTTTAATAAACAAGCACGGAACTCTTCCTTTTTAATGGGTTTCATGTTTTTTAACCATTTGCCCGCTGCCAGCTATCTGCTGATGAAGGTTTTATTGACGTACTAATTTTCAACATATCACTTGAGTCAATTTATACATCGAATCCCTTTTCCATTTGATATCGCATGCACGATATTGGAGGGCTTAGTACATTTTTTTTTTAGTTTATAGCCATTTTTTACAACTTTTTTTATGAACAAAACATTTTTTTCTTAAAATTTTTGCTTCATATACCATGTTACCCCTTCCCCAGAAAAGAATTGCTTTTGTTTTCTCAATGTTTAAGTTTCGTTTAAGGTGCAGCATCTAAACGTCTTCTATAAACCACGTCTCCTCTGATAAATGACATGAATAACATTTGAGACGTGCTGTTAAATATTTATGCTTAGGTCTATGAAACTTAGGCAAGCACAGAAACCCCTAGAAGAAGAAATATATTTACCTAAATAAATTACAAAGACAAATACACTCCTATGTGCTCTGTACCAATAAACACTAGATATTCACTAAATTGTGGAATATAAATGGCTCATTGCCTCCCGATGTACACAGAGAGCTATAACGTAGCACATTCCCTTTACTTTGCATATATATTTCAATATTCATCATAAAAGGCCTTGCTTATGTGTCAATATACATTACTTTGCATGCATTAGCTAACTTTTTTTTTTTTAACTGTTGCGAACACCCTATCTAGAATACTGGTCATATGCAGATCTCAACAGATCTAAATCTAAATTAACCCTTTCACACCTTCTCTTTTCTTCTCCGCATGACATTTGCACAAAATGAATTGCTTGCTTTGACACCACTAACTAAATAAAAGCAGGCCGGGGCTGATAGTATGAAAAATGGATTTTCATTAATGTATCATTGATTCTTGTAAATAAGGGCCCGGGGCCCGCTCGAAAAAGGCTGCAAACAGTAATAATTTAATCTGCGGTGACACAGACCAAAATGTATGTGGACAAAAATTATCCTTGAATATTAAACAACAGCCTCAAGACAGAGAAAAGTGTTCCAGACAAATTTAAATGCATGCAGATCGGTGGGTAACATATTTAAAACAGAAATTAAACATTCTTGTCATAAATCACATTTGCTGCCATAGATATGGCTTGTTATGCCAGCAATTAAGAAAACCTGAAAGGTTAAGGCGGTTGGTGCATTAAATCGTACAAGGATAATTAATACCTTTCTTGTGGCTATTTATAAGAAATGGAAAATATAGTTAGATCAGCTGAGGCACTGCAGTAATTTAAGAAGGAGGGAAAGAAAACTATGAGTCAATAGTTTTAACTGGACAAATGTCAAGTGTGCAATGATGCAATATACCATTTAGGAAGCCCCTTTTTGAAGCCATTGCAGAAAAAAAAGAAAAGAAATTACGTTTTCTTTTTCCTTTTTTTTTTTTTTCAGTTGCCCTTAAGTGAACATTGCTGTTTTATAGAGAGAAATATTAACTTCTCCAAGCATTGTTGTGTGTGTAAATTTCGGTGCGGTGGGAGGCAGTAGATGTTTGCATCTCATGACCGAGAAGCAGAAGATGTGTTGTTGAGTTACATCTCAATTCTAAGAATACCATTCTCTAACATGGTTAGTTGCCAAAGTGAAAATTCAAAAAAAATTTAAAGCAGATTACAAATTTGAGGTCAATATACCCGAAACTTAAAAAATCCTCAAAGTCAGTATGCTTTCAGATTAGCTACTCTGGACTTAAATTTTGAATTCATTTTGAATTCTCACTATAGTAAGTAGCCCTTTTTGCATTTTAAAAAGCATGAGTGTTTCATTATTGTAGCTTTGAAAAAGTAAAAATGTTTGAACTATTTCCCCAGTCCAATCATTTCTCGATATTTCAGGCTGTGTATTTGAAAATTGATATGGTATTGTAGGGTTTACTGTTATACAAGTTTACTTTGTTAATATATAAACCAGGGCCGGACTGGGGATACGAAGCAGCCCTGGAAAAAAATCTATGCCAGCCCCATAAGTCATTGTGCTATGTAGGGTGTTATATATTAAAGGACCACTATAGTGCCCTGAGGGTGCCCCCACCCTCAGGGTCCCCCTCCCGCCCAGCTCTGGAAGGGGGAAAGGGGTAAAAAATTACCTTTTTCCAGCGCTGGGCGGGGAGCTCTCCTCCTCCGATCCTCCTTCTCTCCTCCCCGTCGGCTGAATGCGCACGCGCGGCAAGAGCTGCGCGCGCATTCAGCCGGTCACATAGGAAAGCAGTATAAATGCTTTCCTATGGACGCTGGCATGCTCTCACTGTAGCGCCTCTAGTGGCTGTCAATGAGACAGCCACTAGAGGAAATAGGGGAAGGCTTAACCCATTCATAAACATAGCACTCTGAAACTGCTATGTTTATGAAAAAATGGTTTAACCCTAGCTGGACCAGGCACCCAGACCACTTCATTAAGCTGAAGTGGTCTAGGTGCCTAGAGTGGTCCTTTAATGTAAATGTATATATATATATATATATATATATATATATTATTGATACATTTCTTCTTCTTATTCAAAATATTAGTCCTTTCAGGGTAATTAAATTATACAGTAAAGCATACTCACACACAGACACAGACAATCTTACTGATGCACACAAATAGGCTCATTGACAGACAATCTCAATGACACACACAGACAAGGTTACTGGCAGACACACAAATTTAGTACAGACAAACTCTGATACACACACAAGCTTACTACAGACAAGCTCACTGTCACACACACACGCTCACTACAGACAAGCTCGCTGATGCGCACACACTCTCCCTACAGACACGCCCATTGACACACACATGCTCCCTACAGAAGAGCTCACTAACACAGATTCACTACAGACAAGCTCACTGACCACATATGCTCACTACAGACAAGCTCACTGACACACACGCTCACTACAGACAAGCTCACTGACACATATGGTCACTACAGACAAGCTCACTGACACACACACTCACTACAGACAAGCTCACTGACACATATGGTCACTACAGACAAGCTCACTGACACACACGCTCACTACAGACAAGCTCACTGACACATATGGTCACTACAGACAAGCTCACTGACACACACGCTCACTACAGACAAGCCCACGATCACACCCATGCTCCTTACAGACAAGAGCTCACTAACACACACACATATGATCCCTACAGACAAGCTCACTGACACACACACACACACAGAGGCTCCCTCACTAGCAGGTGCGCACACACACACAGAGGCAGACAGTCACTGACACCGAGGCAAACATCCACACATACAGACAGGCAGACAGCCACACACACACAGGCAGACAGTCACACACACACAGGCAGACCGTTACACACACACAGTCACACACACACACACACAGTCACACACAGACAGTAACATACACAGGCAGACAGACACACACACAGACAGTCACACACACACAGGCAGTCATACACAAAGGCAGTCACACGCACAGTCACACGCACACACAGTCACAGACAGACACACACAAACACACACTAACAGTCACACACACAGTCACAGTTACACACACAGTCACACACTCACAGACAGTCACACACACACACAGACAGTCACAGTCACACACACAGTCACAGTCACACACACAGTCACACACTCACAGACAGTCACACACAGTCACACACACACACAGTCACACACACAGTCACAGTCACACACAGTCACACACAGTCACACACACAGTCACAGTCACAGTCACACACAGTCACACACAGTCACACACTCACAGACAGTCACACACACACACAGACAGTCACACACACACACACACACAGTCACACAGACAGTCACACACTCACAGACAGTCACACACTCACACAGACACACTGACCTCCTTCTTACCTCCTGCTTGGAGCTCCTGGAGGCTGGTTGTTGGGGAAGCAGGGACTCCTTCCTGCTTCCCATGCTGCAATTAGCCGGCCCTGCCGCACAGTAAGCTCCGCCTCCGCCGCACGCTAAGCCCCGCCCCCACCGCACAGTAAGCTCCGCCCCCGCCGCAAATATATATATTTTTTTTTAAATGATCCCGGGCGGCCGTGTGTGAGCCAGCCGCCTGGCTCCCCTTTGCTCCCATGGGGCTATGTGCGGCCGCACAGCTCACACACGGCCGCCGGGATCACAGGAGCTGTCAGACCGGCCCCAGGTGCCGCGGCCCACCGGGAAATTTCCCGGTATCCCGGTGGGCCAGTCCGGCCCTGATATAAACTTATTGTAATATTGGTTATTCTGAGTGATAAAATCCAAATATGCAAAATATATCTTATATATAAATGGCACATTAATTAGAGGGTAGAAAATGATGCAATAACAATGCTATTCCTTAATGTAGGAATTATGCTTAGTTAAATAGAGAAATACAGATTTTGGCACAGACCAACACCATTAAAGACTCTTTTTGACTCTCCCACCGGGTTTATCAAGGGCACGTTTTCCTTCTACTCCTATAACCTGTTCCAGCTAAATAGTATGGTGAGAAGAGCTTTGTGGGAAGAGCTGTACTCTTACATGAGACAGCCAGTCCATTAGGAAAAGTATGGTCACCCTGCCAGTGCAAGATATGAGTTCGAATCGTGAAAAATATCTGAATGCATGCATTAACACTTATTTGCTAGATCAATAGGACTAGAGTACCACCCAGCTTTTTAAAGGAAAGAGATCCAAAATTGAAATGTGTGTTTCTCTATTTATTTTACCTGTGTCCCTCCTTTCCTTTTGAAAACTTCATACAAGAAAGATGCTCTAGTAGGCTATTTGTTTTTCCCTTTGAACACATATTAGCAATCCGCTAGTATGGGGCACTAATGAAATTCAAAAAAAGATGGATTTATTTTCACTGAAAAATAGCTTTTCAAATATTCTTATCGGGTTTTACTAGTTATAAATGTCTTTCTAGCTATTACTAAATATACTAATTATCTAATTAATTGTTAAACATGAGTGCTTAATGATCTTTTACAAGTGTAAATACATGTTCTGTTTGACCAGTCCCCTCCCAGCTCTAGAAGACCCCAACCAATGCACTGGAAATGTGGGTGGCAACATGGCATTGTCCTACATCAGAGTACTGGAGGTTAGAGATTAAAAATGACAACCTCCTGGCACAAATTGGAACACATACCCTGCTATATTAACATTTCAGATATAATTTGTTGACAAGGAAAACACTGAATAGAATAAGAAGGAACAAACACATAAGAAGGTGGATGACCAGTTAATTACTATAATATTGAATGACAAAGACATATTTCTATTAATGTAGCCAGGCAATGCCTGGGCCCCAGTGAGTCCCACTGATCCAAGCAAAGCTTGTAGTGGGGTGACATTTATCTACATGTGCCCACTACCTGAAAGAATATGGCTCCATACATTCTAGTATCCTAGAATGAATCTCAGCACAGGGATAAAAGTACTTATTCTATTGCTGTAAATATCCAGTATGAAAGTATGGCTAAAAGTAATTTAAATGCTGCCCTTCCTAGTTGGCACCATAGCATGAGCCAATCTGATTTCCTCTTCCAACTACATAGACTAGCTACTTTGTGGCATACTGTGCTTGTGATAGAGGTCCGAGACATGTTTTACTACAGGTCATGTTACACTCACACAGTAAATTACAATCCTCTCTCTTCCTCTACTGTATTTTTCTGTAAATGCCAAAGAATATGGTAGACTAATTGGGAAGAAAGATAATGGGAGAGAATATTGTGGGCAATGAGTTGGAGAAATATGGCTGGGAAGCGCTGCTTGGGGATGGGGAGTAATACGGCAGGGACAATGAATTGAAGGGATGTTGTATAGAGTGATGGATTGGGAGGTATGACAATAGTGGATTTATTTTATATTAAATGTTTTTGTGAAAAATAAAAATAAATGTAGAAATCCACAATGGGGAACTGGGTGCCTTCATCTTGGCTTCTAATCATTCATTGTTTAAAGGTCTGTCTTTTGCACCTGGAGGTCAGCATAGAGAAATCATACAGAGTAGTGGAGAAATGAAACATTCATTCTATTTCATCTCCTCATTTGCAATGTTTGCCCTGGCTTTGCCTTGTCTGAACTGGTTTCTGATGTAATTTTTCAAATCTTTAATATACATTTAATGAAAACAGAACATATCATAAAAACGTTAAAGGAACACTATAGTCACCTAAATTACTTTAGCTGAATAATGCAGTTTTAGTGTATAGATCATTCCCCTGCAATTTTACTGCTCAATTCACTGTCATTTAGGAGTAAAATCACTTTGTTTCTGTTTATGCAGCCCTAGCCACACCTCCCCTGGCTATGATTGACAGGGCCTGCATGAAAAAAAAACTGGTTTCACTTTCAAGCAGATGTAATTTACCTTAAATAATTGTATCTCAATCTCTAAATTGAACTTTAATCACATACAGGAGGCTCTTGCAGGGTCTAGCAAGCTATTAACATAGCAGGGGATAAGAAAATCTTAATTAAACAGAACTTGCAATAAAGAAATCCTAAATAGGGCTCGCTTTACAGGAAGTGTTTATGGAAGGTTCTGCAAGTCACATGGAGGGAGGTGTGACTAGGGTTCATAAACAAAGGGATTTAACTCCTAAATGACAGAGGATTGAGCAGTGAGGCTGAAGGGGCATGTTCTATACACCAAAATTGCTTAATTAAGCTAAAGTTGTTCAGGTGACTATAGTGTCCTTTTAATATATGTTATATAAATATAATTTTCAGTGTTTTATTCAATAGTGTAAATTCCAGAGAAGTGACAGATCCCCTTTAATAGATCGATGCAAAGAGTGGGGATGAATTGGGGAGCCAGTAGAAGGGGGTCAGCAGATAGGAAATAGTAAAGTAACTACAACATAAGTATTATTTTTCTATTCTTTTCTACTATTCGATTAAAATCTAATTATTCATGCAAAGTTGTAAAAAAATGCAACAAAGTAGGATGGCTAACTAGTAAATGTAAAACAAATTTATTTTATTGGGTAACTATTTTAATGGGAATTTCTAAAGTATATTGCTATCATGCAGTGTTTTACGCTTGGTTAATGTAAGGTACTTAAATACCCAGGAACAGGCCCAGGTTACCATGGTTATATTTGTGTATTGAGTAAAGAAATGGTGATGTAATTACTTTAGTCGAGGTGGCATAAGAATGATAAATGCATTAGATTACAGACAGTAACAAGACAGGGAGTGAAATATAATTATATTGTGCAATGTACCTGTGAAACAAACTGTGCTAAATTTATATTACAATGGCTGATCTACCTGTCTTCATTACAGAACCATTTCAATTATCTGTAATAACTGATTTAGTTTTAGATTATAAAATAGAAAACATTCAAATTTCTTGTATGAGCCTCACATTATAAAGGTAGCATGGTCTTTTAATCTTTTAATCTTCTCATGTTTTGTACCTTAACTTAATTGAGACATGCACAATTGCCTCTAGAGTTCCATAAAATTTTTTGAAAACCCTAAATAAAATCACTGTCTGGGCTACCAAAGTCATGCATTCCCAAGCATATACCATAGATATACACTGCCAGATTCGCACATAGATATACACTCCCAGACATTTACACACAGATTCACAATGCCAGACACACACATATAGATACACACTAGCAGACACTTACAAACACATTCAGACAGACATCCACATGAAGATACACAATGTCAAACTCATTTGCATATTCTGCATTATATTCAAGTTCCCGAGAAAGTTCCTTAGTCTGAGTGGGTTCCCTATACAAGTGTTTCCTATATTACCAATAGTGGCCTTGTATGACTCCATTCATTTTATAAATATGGCTGAGAACATGGGAGTCGAGATCAGTGATGGCAAAAATGTCTCAAAATTCCAAAAATCTTTCATGTGATAACTGACTGACAAAATTTGAAATGTCTTTGTTAGACATTAATATTAGGTACTTTGCTATTCCAATGCCCAAAATCTAGCCTCCTGTCTATTCTTCCTGGCAAGAACTGGCTGCTAGAAGCAGCAAATAAACTGGAAATCTTAATATTCAGTTACTGAAACTGTTTCCGTGTGCCTGTGTCTGTCTATCTCATCATGTTGACTTATGAAAAAGAACTTTGGATTTGGTTTAAATATCCAATTCGGTGTCTGTGGAGGCTATTTAAAATTAATACATTGGAGCATTTGAGCTAGACTGGGCTATACAATTTCACTAAAATCTTTAAATGTTCCCCAGCACCATTGGAAAGTATAATTGATAGATCCAATTGTGTTTTTATTTATTTATTTAGTTAGTTAGTTAGCTAGATCCTTGCTATATATTCTTCATTATTCTAAGGTGTTGGAGTTTAGCTCAATGCTTCCCAATCAGTTTCCTATAATCCTGGACACCTCAGACATTTACTAAGGGGATTTAATAGACTCCCCCATATCACTTGTTTAAGCTTTTTGATCAAGTCTGTCTTCATCTAATACAGAATCCTACTACATATTCTGTATTTACTGTTATTTTTTTTATTTTTTTTATTTTTTCAGTTCCCTAACTCTCATATTTACATGTATTTAATCTAACATATGTGTGCTCTCATTTCTTTTGCAAATGTTAAATGCAATCAATCATCTTTCATCACAGAGCCCAGATTGCTGACAATAGATCCCACATTTCTCATGGAACGAGTGCATACCTATCTTTTAAGATCAAAATCTAAGCATATTTTATTCAAAACTGATTAAACCTGAACATGCATTTCTGCCGTTCGTGACCTGTTTATAACAACTTGCAAGATTGTTTGACTTTAGGTATTTATCCATTTGCATATTTCTTTGCCGAAAAGAAGAACAAAAAACGTTGAAAAAACAGAACAATCTGTTGTGTCCATAAATATTTACTTCACACGTTCCCCTTTTTATTTATTTTCTAATTGCTACAAAGGGGAACAATTGATAACTGTTGCTGGTAAAATCCAGAATTACAACATAATTTACCACCAATGAGTTAAGGTTAC